ATATATATATATATATATAAAAAAGAGAAAAATATTCTAATAACTTTTTTTTTTCATTTTTATTTTACTTTTATCCTCAATTCATACAAATCCTCTCTCTCACTATTTTGTTTTATTAAATAAAAATTATATAATTTATTCCCTTTCTTTTGTTTTTTACTTTTTTTTAAAACCAAATATTTCAGTAATTACAATAAATTACTTATCTTTTCTCTTTCGGATATTTGGTATATGAAAAGATTTTACTTTTTTATAAATAAAAATGTTAATTTTTCGTATTTGACTTATTATTTTAAAAATAGTATTTTTAAAATATTATTTTTTGAGAATAACTTTTACATAGGTTTTTCATGAAACTATTTTCAAGGAAGGTGAGAAACTAATTTTTTTAAGATAAATATAAAATTCTAATGTGACAAAAATGCCATGTTACCTTTATTTACTTATTTATTACAATAAAAATTATTATCAAGTAACATTTAAAAATATTCTCCAAAACCATTCATTAAAAGTTGTGGTATACCAAACGTTACTTTGGAAAATATACATAGAAAGATGAAGTGTTTATTTTCCCTTAATGAAAAAGAAGAAAAATTCCATGCATATAAAATTACTTGATACTCATCCAAAAAAAAAAAAATCAATGTAAGGTTCCCGATACTCATGAGATTTACATCAATAAAGTTGTTTGGCGTTTGGCCCAGAATCATTAATGGTTCTAATTAGTTATTCATTTTATTTCAAGTACGAGCCTCAGCTTCAAGCAATTACGAATTAAATGTCCTAAAAATATTATCCGAATTCTAATTCTAGACTCAAGCTCTCTTAAGCAACAACATTCCGCACGTATTACACATATTTGAATAATTCAACAAAATTCATAGTTAAAAGAATCTCCTCGTCACTTCCTCAACTAAAATGCTAGCTATATACTCCTCATCCATTTTCACTTCTGATGCAACTGTAGGAGGAACTAAATGAAGTTACCTTAAGATTCCTATACAAAATGAAATAAGATGTTATGTTACACAAATGACTAAAATTATGGGTAGGACATGTTGACACGGAATTGAAGCTCTTACAAAGAACCACAACTTTTGTGTTCTTTTTTGCACGTGACATGAAAAATGAATTTGCTTGATTGAGTAAACAAAACATTTTATTTTTCGTGAGCTAGCTTCCTTTAATTTAGAAATTTCTAAGAGTGTTTGCATACACACCCTTGGAGCTCAAACAATTCCGTACAAGGAAACGTGCAAATAATTTAAGTGCAGAAGAACAACAAATCATCTTCGAAACTTATTCCAAAACGTGGGTTATGGGTTCTACAATTTGGGAATTACACTAGCTAATCTCCTTCCTAGAAATCTCCTACATATGACCCAAAAATAAACTAATAAAGGTCAAGCAAAATATGAGATTTGATAGGTCAATTTGTATAGTCTTGGTTAAATTTTCAAGTCAATCAGCCACCAAGTGGGTCCAACCTATACCAAAGTGGCAAGACAATTCAACTACGGAACCAAAAGACACGTTTGCTATGCGATTTGTATTGTTCTAAAGGCTAAAGCATGCATTAGATAAAAACAACGGTAAACTACAAAGCAAATTACAACATAATTTTCCTATTATTAAGCGATATTTCTTTTCCTTTTTTTTGTGGTTGGCCTTGCTCGTGAAGGTCTATAAATAGCACCCTACCAAACTCTAATCTGTATAAAGCAATAGAGAAGAGGCAGATAGAAAGAGAATTTTGAGTTCAAAAGATGACTAACTTCCCTGTGATCAACTTGGAGAAGCTCAATGGTGAGGAGAGAAAACACACCATGGAGAAAATAAAGGATGCTTGTGAAAACTGGGGATTCTTTGAGGTACCTTAAGAACCCAACAAAAGCTTCTTTTATCTCATTCATTTCTACATTGCACTCCAAATACATGTCCTTGTTACTTCTTGTGATTTTCTTGGTACTTATTAATGACTCTTCTTACTGCTTGCTTTCGAAATTCTATAGCTTGTGAATCACGGCATACCCCATGACCTAATGGACACCGTGGAGAGGATGACCAAAGAGCACTACAGGAAATGTATGGAAGAGAGGTTCAAGGAATTAATGGCAAGCAAAGGTTTAGAGGCTGTCCAAACTGAGGTCAAGGACATGGACTGGGAGAGCACCTTCCACTTGCGTCACCTCCCTGAATCAAACATCTCAGAGATCCCTGATCTCATTGATGAGTACAGGTTACATAAAACAAACATATATGACAATATACATTGCATGGCATATAATATTTTACTAATACAAGTTAGTACAAGTCCCAAAGATTGAACACTGCTCCATATATCCATAAATTATTTCTTCTAGAGTATGAGTATCTACACATCACCAAACGACGAGTTCAAAAACCAAAAGATAAAATACATGTGCATTTCATAATTGAAACTGCAGCTGTATATATATATATATCCCTTCCCCAAGATTCTGACTTACTTGAGGTAATGGTGCAGGAAGGTGATGAAGGATTTTGCTTTGAGGATTGAGAAACTAGCTGAGCAGTTGTTGGACTTGTTGTGTGAGAATCTTGGCCTAGAGAAAGGGTACCTCAAGAAGGCCTTCTATGGATCAAGAGGACCAACTTTTGGCACCAAGGTTGCCAACTACCCTCCATGTCCCAACCCTGAGCTGGTGAAGGGTCTTCGTCCCCACACCGACGCCGGCGGGATTATCCTTCTTTTCCAGGATGACAAGGTCAGTGGCCTACAGCTTCTCAAAGATGACCAGTGGGTTGATGTGCCCCCCATGCGCCACTCCATTGTTGTTAACATTGGAGACCAGCTTGAGGTAATTTTATTTCCAACTATTAATATATATGCCTAGTAGACATTTCTACAAACAAGTTAGAGGCAACAACATTACTCATATCAAACCCTTCTTTGTTTAAAAACAGGTTATCACCAATGGTAAGTACAAGAGTGTGGAGCACCGTGTGATAGCACAAACTGATGGGACCAGAATGTCCATAGCCTCATTCTACAACCCTGGCAGTGATGCTGTCATCTACCCTGCTCCAGAATTGTTGGAGAAAGAGGCAGAGGAGAAAAATCAAGTCTACCCAAAATTTGTGTTCGAAGACTACATGAAGCTCTATGCTAAGTTGAAGTTCCAGGCAAAGGAGCCAAGATTTGAAGCCTTCAAAGCATCAAACCTTGATCCAATTGCTACTGTCTAAATATTTTTACTATGATTACCATCATGTTTGCTTTGGGAGAAGTGTAACAAAGCACCTAATGCATATGTAATATGTAATATGTTTACCAGAAGAATCTAATCAGAGTAATAATAATATTATTATTATATTTTATATGAAGGTTGAGGTTATTCATGGCACTGTGTGAAATGGTCGACAAAAATATCATATTTCATAATAAAAAAAATTAGCAAAAATATTGATTGCCTATTGGCTGTGTGTATTATTTTCCTAGTGTTTTGGCCTCATATGAGTTACAAATTGGCTAGTTGGGTTTTGGACCACCAATGATAGTGTCTTAGTGATGTTGAATGCACAAGAATGTTAATGCCTCGATGATGCTACGGGACGACTATGCTAGTCAACACACTCACTAGAAACAATGTACAGGCCAACGATGTCGATGCAACCAAATGAAGATATATATATATATATATTCAATTCTATTTTCTAAGGCATTAAGATTTTTGTAAGGATAAAATTTAAATAAAAACTTTTAGGTGGTTGACACGTTACTTTCTAATACAAAACAACGGTCAGCAAAGAATCCAACTAAATAACAATTACACCATAAATGTTGTGAGGCCAAAGAAAGGATCGTAAAAGAAAAAATAAGAATGACTCTATACTGATAAATAATTATCTAAAAAAATTGGTCAAATTAATTGTAATAATTTTAATTTTAAGCAGTTAAGTATTATTAAAAATTGTGTTTAAGTAAACGATTTTACGTTAAAATTGATTTTAAATAATAAACTAAGAAACACTAACTTTTACACGTATGTATGCTTTTAGGGAATGTTCATACATCTTTTCTTTCTTTCTGTACACTATCATTAAATTGATCTTCATTTTCCTTCAATCTTCTTTCTCCACCACCTTCAATATTTTCCAGAATTATTGGAGAACAATAAAGTTTCATTTCAGATATATAAAGACAAGCAAAATGTATGTAACATGTAAGTATAGAGTGGTTGAGTCAAACAGGTTCAAATATTTTAGATGATACATGTACATCCCGGGTGTGGTATAGATCCAACTCATTTCATATTCTTTTATTAAATCCGTTTCTTACGTTTTAATTAGTATTTATCACAAATGTTTATTATATATTATTAAAATTTATAATAAATTATATATATACATAAATATTATGTTTAAATATACAAATTATATTTAAAATTTGTATTATATATATATATATATATCCTAGATTTATAATAAATAATTTATATTGTAGAAAAAAATTATTTTTTAATAATTTATTTTAAAATATTAATATTCAATTCATAAACAATTATGATAAGAAGTTAAAAAAATATAATTTTTTTCATTAAAAAAAACCTACTAAAAATATTTTTGTGCAAAATAGCATATCATATTTAATATATATGAAACGATAATATATCAAAATATGTCACATCACACGTCTATTATTGGAACATTTATCATATTATCTATAAAACAAGTCTAACAATATTGCTAGATATATATTACTAAACGTGATGAAGTGTATTAAGAAAACTAACTGTACGTTCCACATGGGGCAACCCCACTTAATATATGTGTTCTATCATTTTCGTAATATATCTCTATTGGTAAAAAAATTGATGTGGCTTATTTTATTACATTTAATACTTATTATTAACAATTCTTAGCAGTTGAACAAAAAACTTAATTTAAAAATCTTTAACGCAATCTATAAATTATTTACTTTCTTTTCTGTAGTTCGTTGTCTAAATTTAAATACAGCCTCTTTAAATTATTATTATTTTATTGAATTAATTAACTTTACACGGAAAAGATAAAGAAGATTATGCGTCCAACTGTTAATTCCGAGAACTTTTATTTGTTGTTGTAAATAGGATTAATTAACTAAATCTTAAATAGCATGCACTTTTATTCGTAATATTAATTTGCTAAAATAAATATCGTTACTCGGGAGTTAAAGAAGAAACTAGAACCACAAACATAATAAGATGGAATATATTAAGCAATATATGCATGTACGAGTACGACGTAACATCGCATCATGAAAAAGAAAATATCATTAATTTGATTCTAAAAAATGAACGATGAGTCACGATAATTCATATATAGTACATGTTATCTTTAAGACACAGAAGCTTGACAGCCACGTAAGTATTCAACTAGGGAAAGTGGAGTTATAGTATATATATTTCGAAAGAAGAAAGCTGCTGAGACTTGTTTGGAAGAACGTGGAGATAGGGTGAAGCTTGTTATTGTTGGGTACAGCGTTCAGCAATTTGAGTCTCATCGCATACCTCTAATATCAGAGTCTGATCATAAGCAAACCAGACATTGTCCAAGTCAACAAAAAAGGAATTACAAAGATAATGAAAGATGGTGAGTTCTG